ACTCTAAAGATGACGGTAAATGTACCACACAAAATACAATCTTCAACGTCTGTTTGCTAGTCGTTGTTTGGTAACGAATCTTACCCGGTTAACACTTCACAGCTGAATACTCAACTATTGAAGTGCCTTCTGAATGAATCTCTTGAATTCACGAATGAACTATCTTTTATAACTTCTGGAGAACCAAATAGCGATCACTTCCTCCAAGGGTTCCACTACTTATCTCGAAAACATGTAAGAACCGTTGCCTAGCAGATGGATAATTCCGCGTCTGGCTCCAACATTTCGAAGCGTTGCTCAACAGTGGACTGTTCCAGCTTGTCCCGGAAACGTTTATGAATCGTTGCCTAGCAGATGGATAATTCCGCGTCTGGTTCCGCTATTCCGGCCTTTAGGCTGTGTTTACCGAAGCGTTGCTCAACAGTGGGCTGTTCCAGCTTGTCTCGGAAACGTGTATGTACCGTTGCCTAGCAAATGGATAATCCCGTCACAATGTTATTTGCATCTTCAGGTTCGTCCATGGAAAGGGCGACAGTACCGTAGTTATGCAATTTTAATTCATACATTTAAGAGCGGGGCAGTACTGCGATGGGCGACACTGGTTCAGCCTTCCTTGTGCTTCCAGAACAAGCAGATTTTCTTTTTTTACCTTGGCACTACAGCCCCAGTGGGCCTAGGCCTACCTCCATGAACTTCTCCTTTCACTTCGGTTTTTCTAGATCTTACACATTAGATAGGGCTCCTTGGGCGGGTGATCAGCTCGTCGCAATGCCTCTACCTGTACACAAACACAGAAAAACACACACAAACTAAACATCCATGCCGTGAGTGGGATTCGAACCCACGATCCCGGTTTCCAAGCGAGCGAAGACAGTACATGCCTTAGACCGCTCGGCTACCGTGACCGGCAGAGCAAACAGGTAACACAGTTTAATGGCATGATGGGACTTAAGAGCGAATATTCGAGGAATCCCCAAAAGCATACGCATTTGTGATCAGAGACGCATTTTATAGGAGGCTTGATCCCATTACATCAGCATTTCATGCAGCTCACTTTGTGTGGCGAAGTCAAGTTTAGTCTATGAAATGTTCATAACATTATGTATAAAAGTCTTTCATTCATTCTTCTGAGTTTCTCCGTCTCTGGTCACAGTGCAGAACTTAATGCAAGGCTCTCACTGCGCGGCACGTCATTGCGACTCATTGATGAATATACGAGGGTCGTACTGAAAGTCATGAGCAACAAATTCTTGTAAAGTAACTTGCTTTATTATTGAAAACCAAATACACCACCTCAATCTACAGACCTCTCTTTATTTTTCCACATAATCGCCACTTCTTTGTACACATTTCTCCCAGCGTTCTGGGAGTTTGAAAATTCCCCTTCTGTAAAATTCCGTTCCAGCCATCCGAACACACTGACGCACTGCTTTCTGAATTGCCTCCCTTGTCTCAAAACGTTGTCCATACAGCTGATCCTTCGCAAATCCGAAAAGATGGTAGTCGGAGGATGCCAGATCAGGGCTATAAGAGGGGTGTGGAAGAACTTCCCACCCCATCCTTGCAACTGCTTCCAATGTGAGGCGACCGGCGTGGGTGCGAGCGTTGTCATGCAGGATGATGATGTTTCGTCTCGGACGATTATCGCGCAATGCACGACGGAGCTTGTGCAGCGTCTGGACATAACGAGCAGCATTGATGGTTTGCCCAGGTTCCAGGAATTCGGCCAGAATAAACCCCTCTGCGTCCCAGAAGACTGCGCCCATCACCTTCGCAGCTGTTGGCACTGTCTTTGCCTTATTTTTTGATGGAGAATGCAAATGGTGCCATTCCATATTCTGCCGTTTCGTTTCAGACTCGAAATGGTGAAACCTGCTCTCGTCGCCTGACACAATACAGAGCAAATAATCATCGCCTTCGTGTCAATATCGCTGCAGCAGTTCTGAGGTGATGGTTTTTCGCTGACCTTTGTGGTCTTCCGTCAATAACCGCGGGACCCAACGAGCACAAACTTTCCTGTAGCCCAAGCTTTCAGTCATCTCCTGTACTGCACTGTGCCCTATTCCAAGTTTTCGGGCTATTGTGTCCACAGTCACACGCCTGTCATCTTCAATGATCTCATCCACTCTTTCCTTGTTGCGTTCAGTTGAGGCTGTTCGAGGACGACCGCTCCGAGGCTCATCTTCGATGCTGGTGTTCCCATCTTTAAAATGTTTCACCCATCTTCGAACACTGCTCGCACCCATACACACACTTCCATAAGCACGCTGAAGTCTCTGGTGAATTTCTGCAGCAGGGATTTCATCTTTCACAAGAAATTCGCTGACAGCACGCTGGCGAAACGATACATCGTTGTAGGCCATTTTGTTAGTAATGATACTGGTCACGTGATGCAAGCTGCTGACGTCAAAAGACACTCAAGGTTAACACAACAGCAGGTTCCACCTACCACCATACTCTCTTTCGTCTGCTGTTACCAGGTTGCATGCAAAAAAAGTTGCTCATGACTTTCGGTACGACCTAGGTATTTAAGAGTGCTACTGTAGCCAGTAGCCGAGATAGCGACGGACTGTGGGCTGCTTGGGCGGGGTTCGATTATTCTCTACTCCACAACGTCCAGACCAGCTGTGGACCTCACCCAACTTCCTATTCTATGGGTATCGGGGGCTCTTACACCGGGGGGATGAAGCTCCGACGGGTTACGTGCACAGCGTCCACACTGGCTGTGGGCCCACCCAGTGACAGGGCCGTGAAGCTGACAACTCGCCTCCATGGTGGTGCTATACCTCCATTCCTCCATACGTCTTAATGGCGTGGTGCTTAATTAATTAAGCGCAGGGACAACTGTACTGCAACAAGTCGGTTCATGCGCTGTGGATATTGCTGTTTAAGCTTGTGTGGGGGTGAAGTGCAAGGGAGTGGTGCGAAGCAAAGCCTCCCGATTGCATCTCGTAATGGAAGGGGCATGTTTCGTGTATTTCGTCCTGTGATCGCGCCGAATTCGTTCTCAGCGCAGCACCTCTGCGGTTCTGTAGGCGTGTGAAACTTTGTCTCTGACATTAAGGGAGGAACATAGACTGAGGGTGTTTGAGAACAGGGTGTTGAGGAGAATATTTGGACCAGAGAGAGATGAAGTGACTGGAGGTTGGAGAAAACTGCATAATGAGGAGCTTCATAACTTGTACTCTTCTCCAAGTATAATTAGAATGATGAAGTCAAGGAGGATGAGGTGGGCAGGGAATGTAGCACGAATGGGAGAGACGAGAAATGCGTATAGGATGTTGGTGGGAAAACCAGAAGGAAAGAGACCACTAGGAAGACCAAGATGTATGTGGGTGGACAGTATTAAAATTGATCTTTGAGAGACAGGATGGGATGGTACGGATTGGATTGATCTGGCTCAGTATAGGAAGCAGTGGAGGGCTCTTGTGGACTCGGTAATGAACCTTCGGGTTCCATAAAATGCTGGGAAATTCTTGAGTTGCTGCAGATTTGGCGGCTCCTCAAGAAGGGCTGAGCTCCATAAGTAAGTAAATAAGTAAGGGGCAGTTTTCACTACCCCTTCGCCATAGAATTGCGCGTCTTCACTGCAGTCCTGACTTCACCGTCTGGAAAGATGTGATTGTGGTGATGTCGGTGGTCATGGTGATTGTTCTCGTGTAGGTTATTTTACGACGCTGACAGTAGCTGCACTGTACTTACTCTATTAGAGTTTTGTACAAAACTTCCCTCCTGTCTGAATCATACGCTTTGTTGAAGTATATGAATAGCTGATGTACTGTCTCATTTACTCCCATTTTTTCTCCAATATCTGACGAATGCAAAAGATCTCATCTGTAGTTGATCTGTTACGTCGAAACCCACACTGATGATACCCAGTAATTTCATCTATGTATGGACTTAACCTTGAGAGAAGAATATTGAACAAAATCTTATATGAAGTTGATAGCAGTGATATCTCCCGATAATTACTACAGTCAGTAGCTGCACTATATAGAGTGGAATTGTAGGATGATACATGAATTGGTAAGGATTTGGAAGGAAACGATCGTGACGGAAATCGAGGTACTGCCCTGGCAGCTTGCTGGAGGGACTGAGGAAATTACAAGAAATCTCGTGATTGTAACCGAACACGTCTCGAGTACGATTCCAGATCGTTGCGTGTCGTTCTTTCGTGGTGACTGTCGGTCTGCGGCAAGTTTTCTGCAGTATGAAGTAACTGCATGATGCGTTTCCTCAGTGACGTCGTCACTTCGCACTGCGTTATCTTGCCGGCACTAATTCAGAGACCTCTGGTGGCAGAATAATGAAACGTGACGAAAAGTGCGGGAAAATCCAATCAGATGAGTTGAGTTCCGTTCAGTGATACGTCGGTTTATTGGTTAAAAACGAAGTTAGATACTTTACTTTTCAGGACAGTGGCTTGCGTTCAGTAAGTTTTGAGTGTTCAGTGTCGGCCATAGGTAAGCATCGGTGCAGGTGTTAGCACTAGCGTTCAAGTAGATGGGTCATCCCATTAGAAAGCAAATCTCAGCAAAATGGTTCTTGCCACCAAGAAAACACAGTACATTACTCTTGGAAATATTTGTCTTCTTAACCAAATCAGACCCAATTGGTTACATTTCGAATTGTTGAACGGTGTAAATCAGAAGGTGTATATAGCTACTGTTGATGTGGGGTGAACTGAGATTCGAGAATCTCACCACAGTTCGTATGTGACGTCACGTAGTTCACATCCCTGAGGACTGTAATTTTTAAATTCAACCAGTTGAGATGCACAGTATAATCCAGTAAACTGTGTGCAAAACATCATCAGAGAACCAGCGGATCCTGTTCTCAACACAGGATGGGAACCCAACTCGCAATAGAATCTGAAGGCTGTGGGCGCAAAGTGTGACGTGCCCTCAGCGATGTTGACAGACAAAGACACCAGTTGTGGCCCTCTAGAGGTCTCTATGAGAAGTCCACATAAATGAATGCATGTTTGTTTATGCTTGCAGGGTAATGGGCAGCCATTCAGAGATGTCCCCATAGCTTGAGATCCCAGACAGAGAACATGACGAGGGTGCGCGAATGGGGCCTCCAGGACCGGCCCCTCAATACGGTTCACTTTGAGTCACCCTCACACACTACCACGTTGCTGGGCGGACTGAACACCCTTCGGGCCAAGGGTCTCCTGCTGGACGTCACCCTCGTCGCAGATGGACAGGCTTTTCAGGTGCTCATGCATTGCGAGATGTTTATGTTGGAGCCAGCCTTAGCACTGGCACTGGTGTGCTCTGTGTGACTCACTCTAAGCAATGCATGCAGCATCTACGATTTGAGGTTTTCATGTCTGCAGAAATTCAGTTTGTAGTTTTCTGGGTTATGGCACTGTGCAGTCAGAAAAGCGAGCCCGAATGTTTCACAGGAACATACTGCCCCATCTTCAGTTCAAGTTTGAAGATGAATGCTGTGTGTTCGTCCAAAATGTTGGTACCCACATAGCAAGCCATGCAGTTTTGTAGTCCTGTTTTTCATTCCCGTTTATGTACAGATCTCTTCTTTGTTACACGTTCCTGCTCTGCATGGGGCCATCTGCCACTGATCACTCAGGGTTCCTTCTCAATTTTCTCCCATGTTCCTCTTTCTCTGCAACATGTTTGCTGACCTTTGTTTCCATCTTGATCTCAGTCTTCCTGTTGAGTATTTTCCTCTTAGTTTTATCTTCAAAACCTTTGGGGTTCTGTATTCGTTAATTTGTAAAATATGGCCATACCATCTTACTTTCTTATTTGTTAATTTATCTCCAGTTGAATTCTCTCAGTTGTTTAACCCCCCCCCCTCACCTTTCAGTATTCCTTCTGTACTTCTTAAATATCTCACATCAGCTTGTGATAACCACCATGGCCCATGTCTGTGCTTTTTCCTCTGTACATTACTATTGTCCTGCAACAGTGTTCAAGGTTGTACAGGTGTATCTGCTGTGAAAGAAAAGCCGTCTTATCTTCTGTTATATCGAGGCCAAAATGAAGTTAAATTATCAAAATTAATTGCTCTTTAAAAAAATAACTGAATTTACGTGTTTTGTTTAACAGTACGAAGAAAGAAGTCAGTGGGTGTAGTCAGTCGAGTTGTGTTGCCAATAGAGACGTACTTGTACTTGTGCATTAGTCAGATGCAAATGTACTGTCGTAACGTTACTTATGCTGCCTGAAGCCAGAAAGTATTTTTTTGTGTATTTCAATAAATATTTGTCATATTAGGAAAGCAATTCAAATGAAGTTGGAGACCTCAATGAGTCTATATTTTGAGCAGTATGTAACTCTCAGAATGCTGAGGAAATTAAATTTTTTAATTGTAGTATGTATAAAGCAGCATTTATATTTGATTGATCTCATTATGTTATCATCGTTTCCATTTTATATGAATCAATGGATTAAGTTCTCCCGTATCTTCCATCTTCTCACAACTTTCATTTCTTATCCTATCCCTTCCTGTTTTTCCCTCACTAGTTTGATATCCCATATCCGAAGCCTAAAGTTTGACTGATATGAACCAAAATTAAGTTAAAGCCCAGTCATCTGCTTGATATTTTCTGCAGGCACATCGTGTTGTCCTAGCATCATGTAGCGATTATTTCCGTGCGATGTTCACGGATGCGATGCGAGAGTCCCGCCAGAGTGAGATCTGCCTCAATGGAGTGACAGCCGCAGGTATCAGACTCCTGCTGGACTACGCCTACACATCGAGGCTTGCCTTGAACCTGGCCAACATTCAGGATGTCTTGTCGGCCGCAAGTCACGTCCAAGTGGTGGCCGTTGTCGAAGCTTGCTCCAATTATCTGCAGGTATAACTGATGTGAGACATTAAAACAGAGACACATCTTACAGACATGAATCAGGTGCTGTATGTGTCCCAGCAAGCTGGGTAAGGAAGGTGCAGCTGGGCTAAGATTCGTGGAACAGTGATGTAGAAGTTGGGGGCCTGTACGTTTCATGTGAAGAAATGTGCCGCATGTTGCACAGGGTATTGAAGTAATCAGTGTATTTGTTTAGTTCCATACTTACGAATGATACAACATTATCAGAATTTGCATCCCTCGTTCAACAAAGTGGATGTGCAGGAAGGTAAGTGATTTTTGTAAAATGAATGGTCTTGTCAGCACATTGGACAAAACGATATCTTCTGGTTTGTGTCACACTTGTATGACTGCCACCACATGACTGTGACACCTCACGGGGCTTGAGGTAGGAGTACACTACAATAGAGTACAGTATAGTAATTTTGGATCTCATTTTGGTCTTCACACATGACTTCTTAGTAGTTGGCTGTACTGAGGTTAACCTCCTTGAAGATGTCTTTAAATGTCACCTTCCTCGCATTTACATTTAAATGACAACAAGTCCTTGGTGTTGCAGTGTTACCTTGTTTTTAGATCATCTTTGGTGTGTGGTCAGAGAAATATCACAGATGTCACATGAAATAATAGCAGAATCTAAGTGAAACCTAAAGATGTTGTGGGGGTGTGGTGTAACCGTACAGAGCACCTTACTGTATCCTGGACAAGGCATTACTTTGTAATGGGTTAAGAAAGTTACACAACAGTGAGTAGAAACCATAAAATCATGTAAGATGTGAAAGCAGTTATGCGGTTTGGTGTGCCTCTGCAGTCCACCTGTTCTCCTGTCTCTTGGCACTCTTGCCCTTGTAGTTGCTGCAGTAATCTGATCACTCGTCTGTCCCCAGTGCCAAGATGTAGGAACTTAGGAGCTTTGCCTCCAGGCCCCTGTTTTTCTTCATTATATTTTGCTTAGAACCATTTACATTAATGTGATATTTCATTCTCAACCTTCTTCCTTTGTTAGTTTGTTTATCCCATCTCCTCTTCCATTCGTTCGTTCCTCCTTTCACCTTGCTGACCTTCAACCTTTGAATAGCCTTGCTGTTACAGTAACAAATGTTAATTGTATGTGACTTCACCTTTCAATTAACTGTCAGGTTAAAGAGGAATGCTGTCTCTGGGCTGCGCCATAGGTCAAGCTGTTAGTCGCTGGCTTACCATTGCGGCAGCCTGGGTTCGATCCCACGTCTGGTCAAGTGGGATTTGCGGTGGACAAAGTGGCGCTGGGGCGGGTTTTCTCTGAGTGCTTCAGTTTCCCCTGCCAATCTTCATGCCACCAAATTCTCCATCATAATGACCCGGGGCAGGTACAGTAGGCCAATCAGTGGCTGCCATGCCAAGTGGACCCAGTGGGACTCTGCCCCCCACTAGTGAATTAAAAAAAAATTAAATGCTATCTGTGAGGCTGCATCACATTCTGAGTAGGCAGCCTAGGGGAAGAAAAGTTCTGTGCGTTCACCAGGATTTTCCTTCGCATTGTATAATATTATATTTCAGCATCCTATTGAATTAATATCTCACTCACTTGCCTCTGTCTGTAAATGTAATTTTAAGCGACATTTAAAATAAAAATTGTGTTTGCATTTACCATCGTATGTTGAAATTAGGAAATGTGAACTTTCTATTGATGACACAGTGATCCCTGTTGCTATCTGATGAGAGTGCATCTGTAACCGGCAGATGAGGCTCAAGGTGTTGTGTCAGTAGCTCTGACCATGTTTTATGCTTCATGTTTCAACAGGCACAGCTGGACTTGGAGAACTGTATTGACATAGCAACAATTGCAGAAACATATTCCCTGTCACAACTTCGACGGCGTGTGTACCGGTTCATGAGTGGCCACCTTCGTGACTTCTCCCGTTCACCAGACTTCCACCGCTTGGCGCCCCAGCAGTTGGAGTACTTGCTGGGCTGTGACTTCCCCGTGGATTGCCCTGAAGCTGAAGTGTTGCAGATTGTTGTGAGGTGGCTGCTGGCCAACTCGCACACAGTCAGTGCTGGACAGCGACTCACATGTGCCCAGAGGCTACTTCGCCGAGTCCACTTTGCAGAAATTATGCCATGGGATCTGGAAGCCATGCAGCAGCAAACATTGCTTGGTCATAGTTACCAAGATCAACATCTGTTCCACTTCGTCCTCTCGGAGACTTGTCGCCAGAGCAGGCTTCGCTCCGCTTTGCCGGACAGTAGCAACATAGTGCCGGTGTCAAAGGCCTCGCCTCTCGTCAACTCCAGGGGAATGGAACTTGCTGTTGTCAAAGTGGGAGGTTTTGGTATTGGAGGAATTACCAATGAGATCACCTATTTTCTGCCTAGTGTCGGGAAATGGCGACATCTAACATCCATACCACATGTGGAGCAGTGTAACTTTGGAACAGCAGTACTCGACAATGACTTGTATGTTGTCGGAGGTTGCTTCAACCAGTCTTTGCAGGTAAGTGTAGTTCTCGTGTACCTTCTGATTTTGATCTGAAGTCAGGTGCACATCATAAAGTTGTTTTAAGGTATTTTTGATAATTAATATTAGAAACATATTTGAAGGACAAAATTAAGTAGAAACTGAAAAGCTATTAATATTCAGTGAGAGCTTTAGTCATCATTCTGTGTGTCTTCCCGGTTTTCTGGCTCTCACCATACCTGACTGAGGAAATGTGAAAAATGGGTGCAACGTTTTCTCTGATTGTTCACATCAAGACATGTCATGAATTTCTTTTTTCCATCAACTTCATGTGTTTTACATAGTTCCAGAGATAAAAGTGTGAACTGAAGTCTGGAAATTAAGATGGAACAAGGTTTCGAAGCCATCGCCATGAGAAATGTGAATTTGGACATTCACACATAATTTATATGTAGAAAATTGTTATTTTATCAAATTAAGATGTTGTCTTCACTTCCTGGTATCACATACAATTCTAACATTTCCAGAGGTTGGACTGTCTACTTGAAGTGGAATTTGAAAAGCGTGGCTCCCTTGCACTGTGGACCCACTCCACCCGCTTACTTGTGGGACCATGTAAAACGAGTTTTGTTGAAGTTGAAATTGGAAGAAATTACCAGTTAGAACCATGCATTCAGACACATAGCTGAGACTCTTTTAAGTTCCCTGTTTATTAGATTGGAGAATATTTCAGATTGAATTTATGGATCTTCGTACACGTATATATGTGTGTGTGTGTGTGTGTATATATATATATATATATATAGTGTATGTTTTTAAACGTGTTTGTGTATGGTAAATTGTTAGAGGGACAGTTCAACTAGACTCCACAGAGAGGCCTGTGATTGCTGTAGTAAAAATAGTAAAAAATTCTCTTGCACTACATTGGCATTTGCTTGACGGGTGTTGTGTCCATGCTACCGTATAGGAATTTGGACATTTAAGATGCGCTTTGACATTGTCAGTGATTTTCCTTTCTGAGTGCACTTTGAGCAAGCAGTTTGTCACATCTCATCATCTCGCTGAATGGTACACATAGGCACCTTCTTCAGTTGCTTATATGTATGTAGATCATTCAGTAGTCATTTCTTTACCAAGCAGCAGTACAAACTACTGTAGTGTGCAGTGGGTAAGCCAACAGCAGCTTTACATATTGGTCATGTGTTAGTAGTGACTGTAGACGGGGTTTGGATTGGTGCATAGATTTATTGATCACTTACAGGTCGTAACTGCAAATAACTATAACACTATCGCTAGTTCTACACTTTACAGTTCATTAGAGCACACAGTCTAGTGTTCTCAATTTGTTACTAGACATTTTCTGGTAACGGCTCCAACAGTTGCGATTCATCTGCCTTCGGCTCAAGTCCTGTCTTTACAGACTCCCATACAGAACTCACTGTCAACTGACTTAAGCTCCAAACCTCACTTTGCTTATAACCTCTTGGTATGGACCGTGTAGAAAACAGGTCTTCCACTGTTGTAACCAAACTATTGATTATTGAAAATCTGCCTAGCAGTGGGCATGTGTTTACTGAGCCACTGCATGGCAATAGTCGCTGTTTATAGAGTCACCTCTTAGCAATGGGTCTGTACGTCACAATATGTTAACAAGAGAGCCCCTTATTGCTTTTTCTCTGTTTTCATGCTTTATCCTTGTGTTCCAGGAGAATATACATCCTTTTGGTTTCCGGTACAGCCCACGCTATAACAAGTGGACAACAATGGCTCCGATGCAACGGGAGAGATGCCGTTTCTCGCTGAATGTTGTGTCGGGTCGCCTCTATGCCATTGGTGGAGCCAGTGAGATGGATGAAGGCGAGCCAGAGAATGAAGATGAAGTGAGTGCCTGTGAGTGCTACTCCCCAGAGACTGACAGCTGGGAGAGTGTGCGGCCCCTCCCAGGATACCGAACACAGCATGCTGGGGCCACATGGGGACACTGCCTGTTTGTGTCAGGAGGACTTGACAGGGACCTTGTCTTGGGCTCGATGTGCTGCTACAATGCGGGCACAGACACATGGGACTACAGAGCCCCCATGCTGACCCCACGTGCTGACCACGTGATGCTTGTCATGGGGGACCGCTTGTATGTCTGTGGAGGATGGTTTGAAGATGCTGACACTGGTAACCGTGTCCTAGTGGACACTATTGATGTCTACGATGTTACCGCGGATTGTTGGCAGGTCGTGACTCGCATCCCGACACCAAGGTATCATGCAGGAATTGTGGGAGTAGACACCAAGATATATTTCATTGGTGGGTTCCACAGTGATGCCATGTTTGACCGTGCCACAGGTATGTTGATCGTGTTTAGTTCATTTTTCGATTTTGTTGTGTTTGTGCATTGCTGTGAGCCTTGCTTTAGTTTGGTGACTGCAGGCAGGAGTGTGAGAGTGAATAAGTACTGTGATTTCTACTACCCAACCCACAAGTTGATGTTCAAAATGGTCATTTACAGTACCTGTGTGTAGCATTCCTTGGACTGGTGTGACGTTTTTAGATAAGGTAGTCTGAGACTGTGTGATTAAAAAGATTGGAGGAAAACTATAATTTAACCCTTTCCAGTATCCTTCTGTTACTGGAGAGATAGTTTTCTGCCCTCAAAAATGGCATTCCCATGTTTGAAATAAGGAAATGTTCACTCCTAATTTTATCTCTCATTTTGATAAGCCAGTCATAATCATCTTGCATGACAGTGATTATACATCTTTGTTTGTAGAAAGTATTGAGATGTGCTGTTCCTAATTGATTGTACTACTGGCATAATTTGTCATCGCTCATATTTAAACAATTTCGCAAGTTAGTTCACCTTTCGAAACACCTGCTGTAACACAGAAGAACCCTGCATTCTGCCCACACAGTGTATTTATGTGTTCCATATGGTTCTCACAATAAATGGATTATTTTTCCAGACAACATTAACCAATTGGTCTCTGTAGCAGAGACGTAATGTGTTTTCTGTGAGGTACGGACTGAATTCTTATATATAAACTCTCTTCATTCTGCCCACACATTGTATTTATGTGTTCCATATGGTTCTCACAATAGACACTGATTATTTCCCGAAACAATATTAGCTTGCTGGTCTTTGTTAAGGGAATGTAGTGTTCCCTGTAAGGTAGGAACTGCATTTTTAAATATTATTTAGATGAACTTAGAGCATCAAGAGGGTTACAACTGAAATGAAACTGTTTATCACCTTTGTTACAGCTGTGATTGAGTGTTACGACCTTGAAACAGAAACTTGGACCACAGGGGAGAAGTACCCTCAAGACATATGGGAACATACTTGTGTCACACTGTACATCCCACGGTGTCGTGACGATATGGAAGTAATGGCGGCCGTTCAAGGTCGGACGTAGCAGTGTGAGAATTGTCATGACGAAAGAGAATGTGTGCACTTTGCTTGCACTTCTATAGGTGAAGCGTGGGGTGTTGCTTGCAATGAATTGTACATTCAACAGATGTGCTAGGGCGTGGTACAAACGTACATGGAACACAAGTGGCAGAGAGTACTGTGCAATTGTACCTGGAACGCAGGTGGCAGGGTATTGTACAGTTCTGACTCAGGTGCTTTTGTTTACTTACAGAGCTTTACGTTTTTTAGTGTAACCTTTCTAATCTGAAACACAAGCAATTACTAAGCATCACCTGGGATGAGGTTTGTCTGCTTCTTTTCATTGCTTGCTGCCAACAGAGTAAAAGAAAATTCTTTGAATTTTAATGACAGTTGGCAGCTGCGAAAGGGGCAGTCTTATTTACATTTGTTTATTGCTGCAGACAATCACATCTTAATGTACAAAATGTGTGAATTCACAGCTGACACAAATGTGTATGACCTTAGTTTAAAGTTACTTGTCAGTGGTGTTGCACAGTGTTTAAGGGGAGGCTGTGAGCCCTGTCTTTGCAAAGTTATTTTGCCACATTTGGAAGCATTTTTTCTAACCAACCGCAGGTTCCTCGTTTGTGAAATGTGACATGCATACATTCAAGGGTTCTTTGCAGTGATTTGCTTGCAAAGTAAAAATAAAACTGAGCCAGTACAGATACCCCTCAACTGTACATATGCCAAGTTTCATAAGTAAGGATCATGTGATTGGTTAGAAAAATACATTCAAATTTTATAAAATTTACTTTGTGAGGTTAGAGATTACAAACTTCCTGCTGAGGTTGTCGTCTTGTGCTTTGTCCATTAACCTAGATTGCTTTCTATATAACCACAATGTTTCAGAAGCCTGTTCTAGTCTTTATTAGAGATGGAACAGATATTGAGAAATTTATTATCTCTGTGGCCCATAGGCAGTGATACCCCTTACCCTTGCTAAGGGATGAGAATAACATTATGAGCAGACTGCACAGAGTAAAACTGACTTTGCATCCTTTCCATTTTAAGATGGGAATAAAACCGATTTCCCAAACATTGTGGTTCTATATCTAAGACACTAAAGTGATGGATAGAGTTTTAAGAGTATACATACCTTGTATGTATGTAAGGGGTGGGCCATAAAAACTGCCCCCCTCCCCACACTGCGACCCTCAATGATCTATTGTGCTTAGAGTATAACCTTACTTCACATATAACAAATTAAACATAGGTATTGAACCATAGAAAGATCACAAAGTGAGTAGAATTGTCTATTTTTGTAACAGAGACCTGTGTGTTATACTATAATGACTCCACCGTTGTTACAACACTTTAAGTGTTCAGGATAAATATTGGAATGTTTTATGGTAGAGTTAACATATGTTGTTAAGTTCTTGTTACTGTTATGTTTATAACATGAATGTTCTTAATTGCATGCAAGAAAAGCATATTTAATTCTTTATACACAGGAAGGAAGGAGAACTTTGAATGCTGTGTTCATTAACTTTGTCTTTCACTCAGTCATGTTGGTCTTGGCGTGGCTTTCTTGTATTGGCACATAAGATTAATGGCTATTCTGATATAATAATTAGTAATTTGTTTCTTGTTATAAGTTAATGTTGCAGTCACAGTAGACATCTTATTTTTCTCCATAGGACCTTGTATTGTTACAAGAACATGTTTCTTCACAACTATTCGTACTGGGATCATTATTTTCTCACTTACAGTTTACAAATAAAATGCAGAGTATTTTATTCATTTGCATTGTTTCTAAAATACACAGACCGATTGAATAGAGACTAATTTCTGTTTGTCATTTCACAGGTATGCATATATATAGTAATATTTCAGAGATTTTCCGTGTCTGCATAGTTTGTGTATCACTGCCTTCTGGTGGACTAAATGTGTACTAGAGTTATGTATACTTTATTTAACGATGGAGTCAGTACCTCAGACTGTAGTTTTGAATGAAGGGTTGAATGATGACTTGGTAAGAATGCAGAGGGAAGCAGCCACAGTTTATTTTGAGTCCAAGCATTTTTCTGGAGGTACTGAGGAAAATCACATCATCCCCTGTTGAACTGCCTACATCCTCTACCTCCCATTATTCCACCCCTTCTGATCTATCACTTCTCCAAATACTGAACTTGTTGCTTTCCTCTGTTCTCCTATTTGTACCCTCTGAGTTCATTTTCAGGCTTATGTCTGGGTGAGCTCCTCCACATGCAGCTTCCTCTATGCTGGTTGCTTGCCTCACTTTTTGACCCTGAAGATGGAGGTAGTACTTCCCAAATCATAGCATTCAGGATAATAGTTCTCCTGGCTGAGGTGTGAACCCAAGACTTCGCAGATATGAAGGAATGCTGACCACTTGACTGCAGTGGGCACCGTGCATTTCGAGATTAACGCAAGCTGAATAGAGTGCTCTGTGCAGACACTGCCTAGCATTCAGTGAAGCCAGTACATTCATGACGGAGGCAGGAGTAGTGAAGTGGTAGGGGCAATGCAGTGTAACATACTGAAAGAATGCAGGTGAGCCATCCAGGAAGGTCCCCTCGTGCTGGGGCGTGTGCTTGGCGCTCCTTCTAAAGGCATTGATGTGAAATACAGTCAACTCTCGATTATCCGGGATAATGGTGGGCATGGAAATCACGACTAATCGAAAACCTGGTTAAGACAATTGTTATTAAAAGTAGTACTGTAATACTGTACCTTCATAATACTATAGGCCTACCTGTATTTAAATTTACTCAACCTCATTTTTATGTACGAAGCCTACATAATATTAGCTTGTCACTTAATAAACTGTTCTCTTCACTCTCAAGATACTCTAGTAAGGATTCCAAATGGTTCAGAGCAGCACCATGTGATATTTTCTTACTAGCAGCACTGTCCACCTCTTCCTCATTCTCACTTTCTTCCCCCTCTTCTGGCTGCACCCCCACTGAACTTATGGTTTCATTACTCCTTAACATTTCGAAGCCCGGCTCACACGAGTTTCTGTTGAATACTTAACACAACACGCTTCCTTTTACACCCTGACATTTTGCTAACACACTTGAAGATCGATACAAAGAGACCAACTGGGGCGGTGTATCTGTCCTTGAAACTTTCCACAAATCCTTGCATTCTTTCATCCCTACCCTAAAAAAATTGTGTTAGCATAACGGGACCAAAGAATGCAGAGCTCTGTTCACACTAGTGCGAAAATAGTGTTACAACTCACCATGTGAAACAAAAGTGAATGAATATTAAACAACATAAAAGCCTCAGTAGCCCCGGTTAAGCCGCAAACCGGTTAATCCGCCCCTGGATAATTGAGAGTTGACTGTATAAAATTGTAGCTTGTTTAAGTTTTGAGCATGAGATTCTTTAAGTGTGCACATTTCATGGGATGCTTGATCAGTTTTGCTTTTGACTGTATGAAGCTATTATTAGGTAAGAATTAATGTTATCGTTTGTACCCATTTCTTTTGAACTGCATTGTACCGAACCATTTTTAAGACTGTACTGCTGGACACGGTTATCTATGTTTGCAACATCAAAATTTCTTTGTCCTGTCAAACGCTGTTGAGTCATCAGAATGAATGGAAAGTTGCAAGTGTATCAACCATTCACAGTTGCACATTGGCACTGATCCGTAATTGAAGACCTGCCTTAACAATTTCTGTGCTATTGTCGAACCACAATTTGGATTCATGCTACTAAATGTGTTATTATAGTGTCTGCAGTGGTTGCCAGCGCCATAGTACTAAGTTTTAAATTTGATCTAAGCAGGCGTAAGAGATTCGGGGGCCCAGCCAGCCTTTTGTGCATTGACTAAGAGTGGCAAGTTCCCTCTGCAGTAAAGCAGTTGGGGCGTGAAGGTGACCACTCACAACTAGTGCCAATATTACCACATGAAGCTATACTTCATCTGCCTGATACACCTTCATGGCATGGTGCTTAATAAAGCAAGCACAAGGATAACTACATTTTACCTTTTACTTCCAGGCAACAGAAATTAATATTTATATTTCAGCAGGCTGGTGATGTACCACTGAAATAATGAAAACATCAGTAACCGAATGGACCCTGTGACATCTGCGATACATATTCAATATAATAAGGGTGTGACAGACTGGGAATAATGCAATGAACTTTCCTTCACATAGTCCCAGATTCAGATCCTTGTTTAATTAGGGTACACATTTTTCTTTAAAGAATTAACGCTTAATGGCTCCCAAGAAATGAATTTGGAATGTGTGAGGCTTCTGTCATAGTGCGTTGCATGTCTCCTCTGGTTACCATCTTTGTGTTTCTAGGAGACAGACCTGTCTCACTGATGGCAGGAGCCAATAGGTTTGGAACTTGTTAGACAGACGTCACTGCATGATATGGGATGTGTTACTTTACGTTTTCCGTTGTCACGCGACGAACCCTCTGTTGTCCATCTCTGGGGAAACGCGTTTGTTGTTTCGGAATTCTCCATGCAACGGCCCACTGTTATTTCGTTACCATGGAAGTACCTACTGCAAACACGTTACAGAGTGAATTAAGCAGGCCCAAGATAGGGTTTACTGGTGGTGTGGGTTGTCGGGCTTTTACTTGACTAGCTGGGCAATTATCAGCTACAAATGAACGATTTTCTTCACTGGATTACTACCTAGATCGTTCCGTAAATTTTCCATTCCATCCAAACGTTCCGCCCGACGTTTACGCACCCGTGTGGGAAAGTGCTGTACTAACAGAAATACCACCAGATGGCAGTAGCATTCCGCACCGATATATGCTGTACGAAGTAAGCCGAAGTTCGATGCACGAAGCAACGTGTGGTTGCGGTGGGTTGTAGCAAAAGTAGTTACAGTATAAGGTTATAGGTATTGTAATAATACGGTACTGTTTGTGTGATGTCTTTAGTTATACTCCTTGTATTATAAGGTCGAGTGTTTTAAATGAAGGAGCAATTATATGAGGAGAGTGTCACGTGATCATTTTCATTAGAAAGGAAAACCGAAGTTCGAACGATTCCGATTAACAAGTGACGGTGTTATCCCGTCGAACCAATGAGGATCACAAAGATAGCTAGGGCTTGTAACATCTAAGAGAAATGTGTGGTTGGTGTTATTGAATAACGATCCATGGCTGTGAATTGTGGTGTGAAGTGTTTTTCAAGATGTGTCTGTACCTATAAACAGTGTAACGTCTGTTTTCAAGACGTATATTGTACTTTTTAATTAATTTTCCGGAATGTCTGGAAGTCGCTCAAGTAACGACCCGGAGCATAAGTCACCACGAGAAAGTGGCGAAGATTCCGAAGATGAGAGTGAAATTTTAGAAGAAAGTCCTTGTGGCAGATGGCTTAAACGAAGAGAAGAGGTGAGTGCTGTTAATTACAAACATTGACAGGTTATAGTAATACGGAAGAAACCAGGTATGTAGGAGCGGGGTGTTGAGCTCTAGAATCGATATATCGTTTTCTTTCCTCTTCGTTTATTGCTTCTTTTATTATTGCAGTTCAAGGCGTTTTCTGTATCCAAGGTTTGAATTTTTGTGAAATGTTTGTTTTTAATGAGTGTTTATGACCTGCAACATAGGGTTTATAATTTTAAACTTCGTTTGGTTATCTAACTCGTTTTGTTATGACAGTTATCACAACACAGATATTTCACCTTCTTGAGTTTTCATACCCGCTTAACACATTGCTGCAATTCATTGGTTCATCATAGCATAACATGTAATGCACGTTTAAGTTGGTGACTATGTATATACACCTTGTTTGGTACAATTATATGATCGATGCCGTTTTCAGAATAGTGTTCATGCAGTGGTGATATTTGCCGGTATAACTTGGTGTAAACAGAAGCGGCTCCCTTGTGGCTTCAGCTGATGGTACTTAGCAACGTTATTGGCTCATAGTTTATAACAATGCTAGATGTATTATTAAATTATTGTGCTGTAAGGTTATTCCAGTTATGATAAGTGGTGGTGTCTGTGGAAGTCTCCAGTACTGCAAGGTTATTGCCCTAGGAGAATGGCATTGGCATGAGACATTAAGTTTTGACAGTACAAAATTGCTGTGATTCATAGAAACAGGAAGCACCTTGGAAACAGGCATTGAAAGGAAAGGTCACAATTGTAGTAGTTTGATCAAGGTGACGACAGAACAGGGGAAGAAGTTTCATGTTTAAAATAAGGGAAGATAGAAAAGGCATCTGGAAATGAATTTTCAGTCATTGGAACTTAAGGGATTGTGAGAAAGTTGCTTTACATAATACAGAATAAATTACCGAAATTCTTTCAAAGAAACACTAAATGTCATAGAGTGATAGTGATTGTGATGCTGTTAAGTTTCATCTGGCCTAGGATAAAGATCAGTGTTAGGTCCATTTGAGTGCCATAAGGAACTCCCCACGTTTAATAGAAGCTGCGGAATATCTTCGATAGCTGAGTCTCTCCAGGGCGCTGCTCCGTATAGCTAGTGGCTCTGTTTGAACAAGTTTTGCTGTTCCCTTAAGGATGGTTCATGGGGCTGCTAGTTGCTATGAACATAAATTTGAATGTATTGCATGCAGATAAGGAAATTCACATTAGATTTGATGTTCCATCAGCGCTGACATAAAGAGCACTTTCTTCTGTGGTGTGACACCATGTAATCTGGTAGATCACAGATACTTTTGAGGAATGTGTATCTCCTACCTTTAGGACAGTAAAATAAGCTGTGTGGGAAATTGAATGCCAATGGGTTTGCTTGCTGCCTGCCTATTCCTGGTTTCTTGTTTAGCTTACCCTTTGACCTGAAGATGGGGCTCGTATGTTTCTCAGAAACTTTGGTAAACTTTTACAGACTCCCCAGCATTACAATCCCAGTAGATAGAGCCCATCAGAAGAAGAAAAATTGTACTCTAACAGAATGTAAGATTTTTTAAAGTTCAGTGCATGGAAGATGGAAGGCACATATGCTTTCCAGGAAAACTGAGAAAGGAAACCATTTGAAAGACTGTGGAATTTAGCATTGTATTCGGGATGTGCATTGCAAGCTGAAGAAGCTTCTTAATAAAGTTGTATGCGCTCTGTCCTACTTCTGGTCTCGGCTGCGGAGCACGGAGTACGCCACTCTCTGATGGAGATGTCACTGTGTAGGCATCCAGTATGTGTAAAGATGTAACTGTTGTGGACCTAATAGAGGAGACCCAGAAATATTACGAGGTCTGCTCCGCGTTCCTGCCAATATGTATGGTAGTTGTGGCAAGGTTTTGGATTCGACTCGGATCTTCTTTTGCAGTCCCTCGTAATTACTTAAATCAACTGTTAATTTATCAGTTTGACTTGCTTGTAGCTCCCGTATGTTGCAGTGCTGACAGCAAAAGCTGCCATATCCCTGGTACAGAATGGGAATTTCTGCTTGTTTGCTTGTAGTTGGTGTTCCAAACATGGGTATCGTAATGACTGGTTTGGGGAAATGTAACGTGGAAGATAATTCTGTGAACGATTTAAGCCAAAGATGTAATTTGTCTCTTTAGTATGGTTGTAATATAAAGGTAAAGTTGTTCCTGTGCCTAACTAGTTAACCACTATGGCATGAAGGCGTATAGGAGAGTGGATATATAGAGCCACATTTTCTTGACTTTGGCACTAGCTGGAGGCGAGTGGTCAGTTTCACGCCCTGAGGAAAGAGCCCCAGGTATCCATTGGATAGGGGTTTGGGTGGACCCCAGAGCCGGTCTGGATGACATGGAGGAGAGAAAATTCTCGACCCTACCCAGTCTTGAGCTGCGACCCCAGCCTGTAGCGAATCGCTATCCCAGCTCCTAGTGTGGTAATATACCACACAGAATGAAACAGTGGATGGTAGTTGTATAAATAAATGTATGAGGATGAAGTTTCAGATTTTAATCGTAACGTTCATATTGTAGCCTTGTTGGTTGTGGGGGTCGGATGTTGTACCCTATGTAGTCAGTGGGCACCAACATTTTGGAGGAACATACTGTCCAATATTTAGAGTCCATTAGAAATAGCTAACCTCAGTCAGTGGCCAGCCTCTAGAATCTTACATGCACTGAAATGTATGTATCTTTACAGAGAGACACACTGGTTGTAAAATCGTGCCCCAGCTTTTGAGTACTGTTTATTAGCTTCATTACCACCAAACTTGGCAAACAAATTTTGAAGTGAAGTTCACTAATTAGTGCTTGTTTACACTAACTGCCATTTGTACTGATTCATTCCTGCGGTGTATGAAGTATTGTCATTCAGGGGTCATGTGATTTCTTCAATTAATCTACATATGTGATCTATCAGCACAATCTTGTGTACAGTTATTAATTATTATGTGCACTAACTTAGCTACATGATTTGGCCCTGTCAGTCATCCTCAGGTTATGATACATTCATTCTGCAGTTATTTTTTATTTTGTATATATTTGAAAATATAATAGTGGGTTCAATCTGCAAACATATTGACCAATATGTACAATATGCCACAGGTCTAAACAAGCTTTGGTGTATGGTAATAATTAATGATTGCATCATTGTTGGTGCGTGTGTGTATTTTTTCTCCGGTGTTAATTAAAGCTGATTGTGGGGATCTTAATTACGAAACCCAGGATTTATAAAGCTAGAGGGAGTAGTTGGAAAAGTGTATTCATAATAATCATCAGGCTCTTGCAGAGAGTTATTTGAACTTAAGTTTCTTACGATGTAATACAGTAAAGAAAAACATTTATTTTTATCAAAAAGTATGAATTAGTAATTTTTTTTTAATGACGAGTATATTCTCATGATGTACAAGGAATTTTGATTGAATAATGTGCTTTGATTGTATGGCCATCTTGCTCCCTGGACTTCAGACAATATGCAGTATGTACATATTGCCAGTGTGTCATGGGTTATATGCTGGTCTCATGTAGGCGCAGTGTCTTCTGAGCAGGACTGAATGGAGTGGCTAACCGTCACTTAACAAAACTTCGTGTAGAGAGGTTTGGGATTCACATATCGTCTGCTACAGAGACCAACCTGTTAATGCTGTTTGGGGAAACAGTCGCTGTTTATTGTGAGATTCATACAGAACACACAAATACACGGTGTGGGCAGAGACACTACATTGGGGGCGGGGGGGGGAAGAAACTATATCTCAGATTTTGAAGGTTCCCAGGCAGTGCCCGCTTGTCCTTCTGGTAAAGATAGAGTATATAATCTGAT